TCGGTATCTATTACAGGCGCGAATCCTAAAAATCTGCAACCAACGCATTAGGAGGAATCTAATACCCTTCCTTAAAAAAACACTACTACCCTAACCGAGAATACGTCTTCTCGCCAGTCGTGGTCACGACGCAGTCGCCAATTTGGACCGTGGTCCAATAAATAAAAATAAATAAAGAATTTCTAATTGGACAAACGTGGCGTAAATTAAGAATCCTCGGCAAATAAAATAGCGTATAAAAACAAGTCGAGATATCGTTAAATTACTTAATCGGGTAATGGTTAGCACGCGTTACCAGGGAGTAGGATTACGTAATGCTAGGGTGTCGATTCTCGGCTAAGAGAACGACACCCTTCGTCTTTGTTTCCGAAGCGTTGCCTACCGTTTACGTGTAATTAATGATTTCTTAGTACGATTAAGGATTTTCGAGGATACGCATTACGTAATTTCTGTGTCGGATATGCGCGTTGCCGGCGAGGGAACGGTAGTCGAAAAGTACAAAAAGGTGGCAAACATTTCCCACCAAATCCACTCGACTACAGTGTGAAGTAACGATCTAAAGATCAATTTTCTTGGCAGTCGAAGAGTTCGAAAAAAACTCAATCGTCTTCTTCGACCCCGAGCATAGATTTCGTTTCGATTCGTCTTCGTCCAGGAAGGCGCTTACGGCACCGTACGACCTCCTCCGTACCAAAATAATTAAAAATAAATATAACCACGCCTATCGCGCGACTCGCATTAGGCGAGATTACGTAACTAAAGTAATTCTAAGGTAACCGAGTAACATTCTCGGTGTCACGTGCCTCGGTCACGTGTCTCCGGCAACACCCGTATTGTCAAAATCCCGGATACGCCGCTAATATTTTCATTCCCAACGAGACTGGCGAAACGCTCTTCGAACAACCGGCGACCCTTCGTTATTGTCTTTTACGCTTTTGTTCTTTGCTCTTTTAACGGAGGATGGCGAAAAATGTGATTAAGTCACTCTTTACCGTCCCGCTGTCGCCACGCCATTTAATTTGTAACCAATTTAATAATTGACAGTAAACAGGTAGTTAGTTACGTGCCCGATTTGTGCCGGCGACGGATATCGATCACCGCTCTTTGTCTCTCGCACCATTCGGTTAGGCTCCGAACCGATCGAAGCGCCGAATGCTGTTATCCTAATAGACCGGCGCTCTTTCTTTCTTTCGACTAAATGTCGTATGGGCAATATCCTGCCCCTGTATGCGGTTTCGATTTTCGGAAAAAATTTTACTTTAAAATTCAGTCGCTAGGGCAAAATTGAGCGCTGCTGACCTTTAGTGTACTATACATACAGTAGACCCTCTATAACACTGTTGATAATCCCGTTTTATATGAATTCCACGTTGTACGAGTCGCTTAGATTTTACAAATACGTGAGCCCTTCACGGCCCGGCACACGTACAGTACAGTCGACCCCCCTATAACGTGCGTTCCTATAACGTAGCGAAAAAATTGTAGCAACATTCGTATAAAGGAGCTCCTAAAACGTCGTGGCCGACTCGTTTCGCGACAAGATTGATAGAATCTGGACCAATAGTGAATGAGTAACCGAACTACTTTCCTCCGCCCTGCGCCACGCTACGGAGCGGCTAAATTGAGTTTGCTATTGTCTGTACAGTATTATATATAAATTATATATAAATTAGGTACTGTATATATAATTATATATTAACTTAATTTATTGTAACTTTATTATAATTATATATATGCTTTCTGCCGCCTGGCAACACGCTACGGAGATTTTAGGCTAGTAAGTTGAGTTTATTATCGTCTGTACAGTATGTAAATTAGGTACCGTAAGTCTAATACAGCACTAATTTTATACATTTCTTGTGAAAGAAACATTTCTTATTCAACGGCCATAAAAATTATTTATATTAATGATGTCTCCAAAGGTCAAGTTATTTTTCTGCGAAAAATTCGTTATCAGAAATCGCGGCCGCCGTTTCGTGCGCTGTTCCGCGACGAAAACAAGCTTGAGCAACGGCGTAGTCGAACGGTACACACTCGGTAAGTAATCCTACAATTTTTGGTTTATAGCATAGTTTTTACGGATTATTCCCAAAAAATTATACGTGTTTTGGAAATGTTGAGTGGAATTAGTCTTGAATCGGTTAATTTTATAGAAGAAAACCTTTCGAACAGCCTTAGTCCGTAAAGTTCCCACCTATCGGGCTGCGATTGGCTCATGTATTTAATCGTTCCTACAACGTAAAATTCGATTAACGTGGAACGTATCTAAGCGTTATAGGGGGTCTACTGTATTTGTAAAATCTAAGCGACTCGTACAACGTGGAATTCATATAACACGAAATTATCAACAGTGTTGTAGGGGGTCTACTGTATTACGTACTGTACAGTACACGAAATCCTGTCCGAAACGGAAAAGTTTCGGTACGATGCTTGATTTTTAATCATATTTTAATTAGAATTAATCGGGCCTTCGGCAGCTAAGATTTCTATATCTGGTCTCGATTTTAAATTAATTAATACTGTCGTGTCCCTGTAAATCATACTTCTCCCGATAACAATCGAGCCGCGCCGGTCATCTATCTCACTCCGTCCTGGAAATAATTTTGAATGGAAATGGCGTGGTTTCCGGTCAAGGTCAAAAGTTCGTGTATAATTACTCGGCACATCTGACCTGGAAATTAATGAAAGGCGATAGACAGCGCAATTTTAAAATTATAATAGATCCGATCAAAAACAACTCTTTACGCTAGAATTTACACTAAATAGCCCGAGAAGGATTCGGCCGTTCTCGAGCGATACTCGAATAAACGAACAGAAGACAGACCCGTCAATTTTCTAGGCGTGGAATTATAATTTTTCTTGATAAATACAGGTTCTCTACAATTAAATTATACCAGAATAAAAAAATGTATACGTTTTAATGGAGTTAGCCAAAGACCAGATAAAAGGCATTTTGTGTAAATGCGTGTCCACGTATCGTCTTTTCTCGGTTTGCGAAAATCGCGCGTATCGGCGCTTTTAGGAATCGCATCGAAACGTGGCGAGTAGGGGCTTTTTCCCGCATCCCCCTTAGGGGCTTTTTTCCGGTAAAACCCGGTTTTACCGGGAAAAAGCCCCTAAGGGGGATGCGGCTGCGTTTCGCGCCCCGTCGATTTCTTTTTGTCGTAACAAAAAGGAGCGAAATTGTCTCTGTCCGAAGCATTTTCCCACCCCGTCCGAGCAACGGCTACGAGTGTAAGTCGGAGACAAAAGAGAAATCTATTATTAGATATCGTCTTTCCCACAGAACTAACGAGCGCGCTTACCCCCATCACCCATTCGAACGAAATTAGAAATATTTCCCTCGATAACGAAAAGTTTCCTCTTAAAAGCCATTGAATTTTTCAAGAGAAGAATCGAAAGGGAATAAAGAGTGGTCGGTGGGGGAAATTCGGTAGAAGAAAAAAATTGATTTTAATCTTAAAGGTCATTTACGAAAGAGATTTTTCTTTTATAATTTTCTCGCTCATTTCGAATTTCATTAAAGCCACAGTCGATTTAAAGGAATTTTTTATTCTAAAAATAAAATTTTCCGAAGAAAAATGAACTTTTTAACTGCGCGCGGTCCAATTATCTAATCAAACCTTCCAAAACTCCACTTTTTCACTTAAAATTCTTCTTCTTCTATAGCGTACGTGTGCGTACAGTACCGTACATTAACAACGATACTTAGTTATAGGTTTAGAAATAAAAGTTTGGGCATGGAGAAAGACCCGTTTTCGTACAACTTTACGTCTCTGAACGGAAGTGGCCGCACAAACCGTAACTCTAATAGTTTCGAATTAAACAAGTCGGAAGGGGGTAAAGGAGATTCGTCTAAAATAGTAACGAGCCGCATTAACTATTTCCGGACAAGACGGAGATTACGGAAGAGCGCAACATTAGAGTCTAAACGATAAATGTCGTATTTTCAATATTTTTCCTCTTTTCACTTCTTTTCCAGAATTCTTCGATTCTGCCGTGTCTCTCTGTATCGAAGTAAGCCCGCCCGTTTAACCGGCAGTTTCCGTTTGTCTTTTAACCCCGACGTAGATACAAAACACCCGCTGTAATTTAATTAACGGCCCAGGCTCTTAGCAAAATGGGAAAGAGGCGGCCATCCGACCAAAGTAAACGAAACGACGTCGATAAGTAATCGTTACGCAGGAGCGCGCGCGTTTACCTAGCGTAACGTTACCCGGTTACCGATAATCGATAAAGACGGGGAAGGTTAACGACGAAAACAACCGTTGCCCGTGGTCTTAGGTAAGAAGAAAGGGAACCCGGACGACGCCCCAACCGAGAAGGAATGGTAAAAAGTTTGTTTCTTTGGCCTAACTTCCCTCCAATCTTCGCCCATCGACTCTAGGAAAAGTCGAAATCGAAACTTTTCCCGGAAAGTCGGTGGGAAACCGACCGGTGGTTTCTCCACCCATCGATTCCTTAAATCGGAACGTTTTTCCACCGTAATTTTCTTCTCCCATCCTTCTGGCGTCTCCCGGGGGCGTCGGCGGGTACAAAGAATCTCTCTCCCCCCATTGGGGGAGAAGCGACTCCGCGCACCGGTCGACGTTTCTAGACTTTTCGAAATTGCTTACAAATACAAAGTGACAAATGGATTCCGCGCGGTTCTTGGAGGCGAGTTCGGAAACCAACCGCCGGCAGAAAGTGATGTTTTCAACCGGGAAAGACGGAAGTTGTAAAGTTTCCGAAAACCTCCGAGATCCGAAACGCCCCCGGGCCGAGAGAGGTCGTCGTCGTTGCCGTCTCCCGGGATCTATTCTCTTCCTAACAACGGGAGAAGAAAATTGCCCGTCTCGTTCCGGGAATCCTTCCAGAACCAAACTTCTGGAAGATTTTGTCCGGAAACCGGAAGATACGAAAGGTGCGTTTAGTTTCAGACTGGAGCGCGCGCGGAAAAGCGGAAAGAAAAACCGAAGACGAGAACCTGGCAAAGATAGAAAGAAGAGGACGTACAGTACCTGAGGGAGCGAAAGAGCGTGAAAGTTGGCCCTAGGCCGAAAGTCGGCGGGATATTCGAGTCCGGACGGGGGCGGGAAGGGACGGACGGGGGGAGAGGATCCGTACGAAGACCGTCCGATGGCGCGAAGCCTCTCGGCGCCGGCCCGGTAGGTGGCCACGCTCAGCTTCATCCGTCCCTTCCGTCGACGCCGAGACGCCGAGTGCCGGATCCCCACCACCGGGACGCGGCGCCGACTTCGGCGCTCGTTCGCCATTGGCCGCTGCCGTCGGCGTGGGGGGAGGCGCTCGACACGCGCCGGCCACGTAGCTACTGGCCGAGACGGGGGAGGGGGAGAAGCGCGTGACGAGAAGTTCGACTTCCCTTTCGCTCCTTCGTGGCTGGGAATACGAGAGACGTTGGTTAACTCTTCTTTATCGTTTTAACCTTCGAACTCGGCAGAAAAGAAACGCGTCCGCCCGCCAATTAAACCCACACCCCTCTCCATTCGACACTCTTTTTACCTAAATTGCTTTACCACCTCAATTTTAACGCCGTCTCTCGGCGTTAAAATTTATTAGATAACCAATGCCGTATATACCAAATAAAAAACAACGAGTGTATCATTTAGGTTTAGTTTTATTAGGCTGCAACTTTTCAATTTCGGCCCCAAACTAGAGTGAAATCTCTCGACCCGTATGGCAAAACAGTTTCCGTCCCCGGTGGTTGGTTGGGTAAGAGCAATTTTTCTCTTTCGAAATGAGCTCTTAGCTTAGGAATCTCTAAGATTTCGTCTTTTACATTATTAGGGATGAAATCTTTCTAAAGTATTAAAGACAGTCTCGGACAATTACTAATTACCGATAGAAGCCGTCTTAATACGCCAGTGTGGCGGGTAAATTGGCCCGAATACGCCCGTATACCCCGTGAATCGAAATGGAAAGTCAAAGGTGAGCGCCAGCGGTTTGGTAGGGGAACGGGGGATAAGAGAGGAGGAAGGAGGAAGTTGGGAGACGAACAACCCGGAAGCCACGCACTCCCATACTAATTTATGGTGAAAGTAACAAACACTTATTTGGGATAAATTGCTAACACCTAACACCTTTAGTAATATAATACGGTCGAGTTACCGAAAATGACGAGTTTCGCCACGTAGCGACGATGCTAATGTAAATAGCGGAATTTTCGTAAAAGTGTTACGTGCGCAAATTGGTATACGCGCTTATATATATATAATAGTGACTATTTCTATTTGTAGTTAAATGTTAATTTAAAAAATATTGGCTATTCGGTGGATTTTTCCATTTATTGACATTAGCGTCCCGGCGTTTTACCACGTTTTTTGATAACGCGTGGAATTGACGCTATTATCGAGTGTCGCCATCGAAGAACAATAACCTATTTGACCCTAGCGTTAAATTACGGAGGTAAAAATTAAGTCGTATTTATTTATTTATTGGACGAGACGACGAGTTGTACAGAATGTCGAATTATCGAGAGTCGAGTTGCCCGGGACTCTACCGTATCTAACACGTTTATCGAGGAAAGACTCGGCGCGCGTCTATCCGCTATCTAACGCTATCTGTCGGGAGAGAGAGAGTTTACAATTAGGGAAGAGCGGGATAAAGTGGCCTCTGTTATTTTCTGAGATAATGTTGCCGTCTAGTGGCAAGCGTTTGAACTCCTCCGGCGGGAAGCCGCAAGTGTTATAAGAGCATCCGAGCTGGTTGACAATTCTTTTTTGTGTTAGTAAAGTTTTCATCTTGTCTGATGTGACGATACTCTTCATTTTATCTAAGATAGTAATAAGTCTATAATTATTTACTTTAAACTGGTTGAAAGAGTACGCTTTTGGCTTTAAACCTTGTGGAATAGAATGAAGTAGTTCGGTCAGTTTTTAGTCTAGACACGATTTTGTGTAAGGGCGTCCAAGAGGGCAAAGCGGCCACTTTCCCACAAAAACTATATTACATTATTTTGTCAATAGAACTTTAATAGATCAGAGCCGTATAGTAATTTGAAATATAATAAAGCCTAAGAATTTAAGATGACTGAAGGTTACCTACAGAAAATTAATTACATTTTACAGGTAGATGATGCGACGCTGGGATTCTCGTGCCTGGCAGCCAGCCATTAATGCCATAGAATTCCATACGCTACAGCGGTCACCGGCCACTTTATCCCACCAGGTGAGGTAAAGTGGCCATTTTCGTATAAGAATTTGTAAAAATTCCACGTTGCGTTAATACAAAAATAAAATTTTTCTCGCTTTTACACTACGCGTAGTTTATAAAGAACTATTTTAATTGTTTTTCCGAATTAGAAAATATGGGTAAAAAAATCATTTTAGCTTAGAGTGACCGCTTTATCCCGCTCTCCCCCGAGTCGCGAGGAGTCAAATATGTTCGCCTTAAAGGCCGCCGCGTCCTAAATCCTTAGGGTTCCGAATAAAGCGTCCTTACAATCTTCGGTCACTCCGGCCACACATTTATCGCATTTGTCCCCTCGGACGGCAAATAAAGCGGTAGCTTACGCACATCAACGAAGGAGAACTCGGGAGGAGAGGGACCGCTTCTTCCTCCGGGGGTTTCTTTTTATGCTCATGTCGGAACTTTTCTGCCAACTTCTCCGAATGAGTCGAACCCAAAGGAAGATGTATCATTTTAAACGAAATCCGAGTCAAAAGATAAAACTTTCTCGTCAAATTTAACTTTTTCAGCGGCAATTTTAAAATTGCAAACCTATAAATCCTCTCTATGTGTCCTTGCTAAATATCGAGAATGGAGTCGGATAGATGAAATTCGAGACCAGAAATGGAAAGCTTAAAAGTCGGAGGCCCCGAATAACCGCCTACGAACTTCCGGTTTGAAGTCACGTTATTTCTGCAGAACAGAGTCAGATAGATGACCGGCGTGACTCTCTTGTTAACGGGAAAAGTATGATGTAGACGTGTGGAAACGTATGCTACGTGTGGAAACGGTCCAATTATATACGAAACGTTTCTCCATTTAAGTTTTATCCTTCTTAGAGTTCGATCATTAAGCGTTGGTAAACTATATAAAGTTTCTGACAGCGTAACCTTTATAATTTTATAAGATCTATTCTAAACTATCTTCTGTCTCCTTATTTAAATTATATACTAAAACTTCATCACCCATTTTAAATGAAGTTTTATAGGCCTATTTGGACTATAACAAATACGTACGAGTGTCCGTAAAGTCCGCGTGCAATTTAAAAATTTATAACTTTATTAGTATTTGTGATAGAGAAATTATGTAGAATGTATTGGAAACAAGAAAGTACTTTTAAAGTTTCGGAAAATTGTTAAACTATTGAAGAGTTACTAAATACTTTTACTTAAAACTAGGCACATTAACATTTCTAATACTTTTTACACATTTTTCTATCACAAATGCTAATCAACTTATAATTTTTTAAAACTGCACACGGGCACCCTGTATAAATTATTATTACACCTATAACGGTATTAGTTTTAAAAGCGAAAATTGAGTAAAATGAGTAGTGACTCGTATTAAATTTTTATTTGGCCCGCCTTTACATCGGATCTAGTAACGCCACTGCCATATACCCGTTTATTTTTTCTAGCTAGAAACATTGTACCGTACCGTACGGTGCTTCGTACTAAATAAAGCGCGTGTTTCCTAGTCGGGTACTCGGTGCCCGAAGGTACCACACATTTTACAGTGTATGGTACACCGAGTTAAAGCGCTTGGTGACTCGTATACCGGACGTGTATGTTCCGGGATAATTCGCCGGTTTTCTCTAACTACGCTAGTAGCCGAACCCCCGGAAAGAACGAAACGCGCGAAAAAGTTTCCCGACTTAATTACCGGGACGAATAAAGTGGAGTCGGGAAGTCTCTGGCTGGACGAAGCGCCCACCTCGCATTGAAAAAGGATTAAAGCTTTTCTGCAAATTCCCTAAATTGTAGCCACTCATCGACTCTACTCTTTCCTCTCGCACTGTTTCTCCCTTTTCCTCCTTTCTCCGAGAGTCGCGACGTCTCCCCGGTGACAAAACCCAAACCGGATTCTGAATTCGAGCCGGGATCAGACAGCATTTTCGGAAAAATAGAAAGAAGTAGGAAAAGTTTTCTTGTTTTCTCTCGAGAAAAGAAAAACGAATTGGACGGTGAAATTAAAGCTTCTGGAATAAAACGGTTTCGGGTCACTAAGGGTCCATTTACCACAACGATGACGTGGCCGTGCAGTGATTTTTTGCCGGTGGGAAATCGTCGACCTTGTTTTAAACCACCCTGTCCAGACGGTGCCGGGCAGTGGCGGTGGCGTGAAAGTATATGTGACCGGAACGATACTTTCACCGACGGTAAATTTCGTTTTCCAACGGATGACGAACACTTAATTGATATTTATCTCATTGGAAATACACGGACATTGGGTACAAAATGAATGTTCCTCCGTTTTGTTTAATAAAATACGAAACGCGTGTTGGGACATTGGAAAATATTCGGAAAATACAGATTCGTCGCGTATTCATTTTTTATAAAGGACGCGAAACTCCCATTCCGTCGATCGTTTTCGTCCACGCTCGACGACGCTTTCTCGATGGCAGTTATTTTTCTTCTTCGTCCAAACGTATGGCTATCGTAGCCGATTCGCCCTCGGAAAAGTTCGCGACCACTCACCGACAGCACGGTTACGTCACTGTTGCGTGTAGACGGACCTTTATTCCTCTCATTTCGTAAGAGAAGAATAGAGAATTTCTTATAGGGGCGAAATGGAGCCCGCGGGATTTAAGACGAATTCATTAAAGAATACGGACTGGCCTCCCTTCCGGATTCCTTAACCGATTCTAAAATCCCGGATGCGCCTCCGGACTGGAAAGAACGACGGGTGTTCCCGTGGGAAACCGCCGAGCCGTTAGAATTTCAAATTTTATCCCGACTTACGATCTCCTGTTTTTTTTTCGTCCAGTTCGAAACTCGTCTATCCTTTAATCTCTCCTCTCCCAAGCTCTGTCGCTTTCTCTCCTTCGCTGACCGAAAGCTTTTCGTAGTCTTCTTACGTAACGCTTTGCCACGGAAGCGAACACACCCTATTTCTCTCCGCCTTTATCGAAACGACACTACCTTAGGTCTTTCCACGGACTAATTTCCTGGCGTGGGAAATAAAGCAAACGCCAATCGCCTACATCCGCAATTCCTGGTTATTTTCGCGG